GCAGCTCTTCGTGTTCTAAGATATCTTAAAGGTCATCCTGGCCAGGGTATTTTATTACGTAGTGATAGTAATCTTGCTCTCACTGCTTTTTCTGACTCTGATTGGGCAAGTTGTCCTCTTACTCGACGTTCTGTCACCGGATATTTTATTCTATTGGGTGGTTCTCCAGTCTCATGGCGCACTAAAAAGCAAACTACAGTTTCTCGATCTTCGGCAGAGGCGGAGTATCGGGCCATGGCTAATGCATGTGCAGAGATAAGGTGGTTGCGTGGTATCTTGGCTGCGTTAGATGTTCCTTGTGTGGCAACTCCCCGTTTATATTGTGATAACAAGTCTGCTCTGTTTATTGCCGCCAATCCTGTTTTTCATGAGCGGTCGAAGCACATTGATATTGATTGTCATATTGTCCGGGAGTGCATTCAGCGTAACCATGTTGTCACAGCTTATGTTCCTACTCGTCTACAGATTGCGGACATCTTCACTAAGGCTTTGTCCGGTCCTTTATTTCACTGTTTATTATCCAAGTTGGACATTTTTTATCTTCATGCTCCAACTTGAGGGGGAGTGTTAGCTTAGTATTTTGGGTACATATTTGTTTTAGTGTATATATATATTCTTTATGTATTTGTATTTGGGCTCCTCGTTTGTATCACCAGAGGGCTCCTCGTTTCTATCTCCCGTGTGTATTTATATATGTCTTTGCATCAATGAATAAAGCAACAATTTCAATTCCAAAATTCAACACCCCTATTTTGGAAATAGAAAACATGGAGTTCCTATTTTAATACTTTTTCTAATGTTTAACTCTTATTTTAGTCCTTTTATCATATAATCGCGAGTGAATTAATCTTCATTATATTATGGAAAAACCCAGAGGTACTCCAAGGTGGTGTATCCTAAGTGTACACCACCTTTTCACAGACACACAGACACTCCAGGTGGGTGCAGTGTCTGTGTGTATCTGTGAGGAGGTGATGTACACCACCTTAGGGTGTCCCTAGCAAACCCCTTTTATTATACTCCATACGTTCCTAAAAGATTACATAGTTTGATTTTTTTGGTTAAAATGTGGCATCATTTGACAACAAATTAAACATAATTTAAAATAATTAAATATTATAAAAATTTGACATTTCAAAACTATAATATAAAATAAACTCAATTTTACTAAATTTAAATTATAACTAAATATAGTTTTTCATTAACTCTTGGTCAAAGCGTGCCACAATTTGACTGTCAAACTGGGATAATCTTTTAAGGAGAATATATCTAAACTAAAGATAAACTAACCAATGATGCCAATAATAGTGCGCGCAGTGTCTACGGACAGCATGATTATAATAACATAGACTAGCGATGTGCTTTGAGAACAGAGATAAATAATACGGAGTAATAATAATAATTTTATATATATATATATATATATATATATATATATATATATATATATATATATATATATATATATATATATAT